ATTTAATTTAGTTGAGTGTGGTTCTCCAATATTCATTATGAATATTATTTATAATAGATGTTTAACTCATAAAAGTCTATGCTTGCAGTAAATTTAAATCACAATGATACTTTAAGTCAATGATGGAAGAATGGATATGAATTCAGTATAATGAATCAAGTTTTCGTTACTTGAAATTAACGTAGTGTTTTTCCTACAATATTAAAGTCGAGAATTGAAACTTCAGAATATGATCGAGGGTAGACCTTAGGTGAACTCAGCGGTTTCAAAAAGCTGGTTAATATTTTAACAAAAATGTATTTGAGATGGAAATCAATTTTAAAAAAATGGTTTTTGTCATCTTCACTGCCAGGGATAATACATATGCACTGGGCTTTTTGTGTCAACTCTGGTCTTTCACAGGGGTCCTGTGGTTATGATTTCCCCGGGGCTCCATTTGGAAACTATGTGAGATTCTTTGCTAAGAACTAATAAATATTTGAAATTAAAAGAGAAACAAATCCAGGCATATCTCCAGCATAGACCCTAGGGTTGTGCCCCTGTGAATGTGAACATGACCTTTGGGAGCATAACATGGAAATTGTTAAGATCTGCATCGGATGAATAATACATTTTTATATCTAATTAAATAACTATATTTGGTTAAACAATCTGAGAGTATTTTCAGGCATGTATTTTTAATGATAGCTTCCGTAGCAACGATAAAATCTCCATAGCAACCAAGTACAAAATACAGGTTATCACATCCCCCTAAAAACAATTATGCAGGTAATAATATACGATGAAATATTTGTTATGTCATAATCTACAAACAAACGGATGTATGTTGGTCCCCATGAGAGCCAGGTGAGAAACATAATTTTCACACCTCTTCAAAACCACTTTATTTCATTTTGTAAATCTGTCAAGACATGTTTCAAAAATGATATATATTAAGTAGTGTTGTCTTGCATGCCTTCATAGCAACCAAAGCATCTTTGACGTCAGCCAGGTAGAAACGTATAATATTTTTAAAATCTATAATGGCAATTTAAGTCACACATTTGAAATAAAAGATATATAATTTATATTTTCTACAGGTGTTATATGTTTGGAGAACAATCAAAATACCGAGACTCGTGTGATTAACCCTCCTGCAGCACTGTGCTATCTTTAGTCCAAAAAATAGAAAACCTCACATGATAAACCATACACAATACTGTTTATTATCATTCGATCAAAATGCAAAAGCTTCTTTGTAAAACCCTCAACAGTACTGTTATCTTATGATTCAATCAAAACCGCAGAATGTCAAATAAGAAGGTAAACAGAGTTCTGAACAAAATTCGTTGTTAAATGATTATATGTGATCATTAACAGGTCCATGTGATATTCATGCAATATGATAACGGTTTTTTTGTGGGGGGGGCGGGTCAGATCAAGTCTATTGCAGGCATACATGAGACTTAGTTTATGCTATTGACGAGTTTATAATTTAATGAAATGTCTGCTGTGGATAATGTTACAATGAAATGTATGCAGTTGACAAGGTTACAATAAAATGTATGTTGGTGACAAGGTTACAATGAAATGTATACTTTTGACAAGGTTACAATGAGCTGTGTGCTGTTGACAAGGTTACAATGAAATGTATGCTGTTGACAAAGGTACAATGAAATGTATGCTGTTGACAAGGTTACAATGAAATGTATGCTGTTGACAAGGCTACAATGAAATGTATGCTGTTGACAAGGTTACACTTTAACTAAATGTCTGCTTTAGGCACGGTTATGATATACTGAAATATTTGCTATTGACAAAGGTGCAATTAAATGAAATATATGCCGTTACAATATAAGGAAATGTTTGATATTGAGAAGGCTACAATGTACTGAAATGTCTTCTGTTGACAAGGTTACAATGAAATGTCTGCTGTTGACAAGGTTACAATGAAATGTCCGCTGTTGAAAAGATTATAATTTAATTAAATCAATGCTATAAGTAAGGTTACAATGTAATGAAATGTATGCTGTTGACAAGGATACAATGTAATGAAATGTTTGCTATCGACAAGGTTACAATATAATGATATATCTGCTGCCGACAAGGTTACAGTTTATTAAAATGTTTGTTATGGACAAGGTTACAATTTAATAAGATGCATTTTAAATAAATGTCACTTTACTAACAAATCTGCTTCAAAATTATTTGCTTTTAGCAATCATCTGTCTTAAAACAAATATTTTTGGGATCATACTCCTTTTTATTTTACAAATGAAATGACTACTCATTGACAAACTGTCTTTGAAAGCCTTAACATTCAGGACTTGTATATTTACATAAGGTACATAAACTGTTCCAACAAAGAAAAAACTCTGAATTGTTGTATCATACTAAAATTTGGATGTATTTTATTGGCAAAAAAATATAACTTCTGGACTTATGAATTTAAAGAATTTGTGCAGTATCTTTTTCCCCTTGCATCTGAGTTAGGCTACTCATTAGAGTGCATATGAAAGATCTGGGTTCGATTCACCAGTCTAGGTACTTTAAATGACATAACATTAATGAGAGCTCATTAAGAGCTTATTAAGAACTCACAAGTAAAATTGGGTCAACGACTCGACATAGATAAAGACATGTAACCGAGAAATCTGATAGTTAGAAAAATGAAACTTTTATTCTAAATTTACATTCCTTTTATCCTTCCTGAAATCTGTGAAGCTGCATTTTCGTGTGTGCAGCAATAGTAGCTAATCCTGTCAATCTGGAGTCTCTAGTCATGAGCCCTAGCGATATGACATGGGACAGCCTTGAGTATTCAAATGCACGATTCATAAGACAAGAGACAGTGATCTTATTAACTTAACATCCATATTTACTCAGGGTTACGACCCAGCATAGCCCAGTGATTAACATGCTTGAATGACAACTGGAATTGCGTGGGTTCGAATCCTAACATAAGATCAACTTGGACAGATATTATTGTATCTTTAAATGTATATTATTTTTCATGGCAACAAAAATCTTTACAGGCTTGTGCTCCACATACCGCAAAATGTAAATGAGATTTTCGTTGTTTATTATTTATGAGTTTAAAATGTTAGGAGGAAAATTCAGAGCAATTTATTTTAATTTTTTAGATGCTCATTCTATTAAATTTTAGATGCTCTTGTCATTAAATTAAGTAAAAATACCAAATTAAGTAAAAATACCAAATGAAGTATGCTTCTAAACCTTTCTCTGATTTCAAAAACTTAAAGTGCAGGTGCAACACAATACAATTGACACAAAAGCCATTTTCGCAATGCTATCTTATTGTACTGCAATACACGTGTGTGTCTGTGTGTGTGTGTTTGTGTGTGTGCGCGCGCGCCATTATTGTCAATATGGTGTTTGTTACTTACCCGTTAGTATAAGTACAACAGGAAGTAACACTTGAAGTATGCTTCCAAACCTAGGTTAACAAATCTTTGATGTTATTGTATCCATAAAATAAACAGTTTTGTTACTCATGTCACTACTAACAAAAATTAAGTCATAAAGAAGTTACATAGACAACCAGTCAGTCATGTAACAACTGTCTAAACTATCTTTAAAACCAAATGATCAGGTATCACCTACTTGTACGGAACCTGTTACGAAGATGCAAGTGTCATATATACTCACTTATAAGTCTGGTCAAACTGCAAGTAACATAGTTCATGATCATAATGTACTATCAGAGCAGGGTTTACGTTGTCCTAACAAACTGCGTAGATCCAGATCTACTGGCCCATTATGTCACGGCAGAGCTGGATATGCGCACATATGGCACATATTTTTGCAAAGATTTAATAAGAGTCACTATATTTCAAATTAACGAAATGCGTACTTAAAAATAAAATTATTTGGGAAATTTTATGAAGTCAAACTCTTCACATCATGTGTACATACTAGAAGAGTTAGCTCCCTTTGATTAGTTGTTGATATAAACCAGAAAGTGAAGTTCATGAATGGTCAGTAAGTTCTAGGAAATTTTCAATGCTCAAAGTGGGTTTCAGTATCTGCTTACCTACCTCACCCCCTACTGTAACATCCTATAACTGAAAATGATTTTTGAGATACTTAATAGGGTCATGCTGGAAATCAGATCATCACCGGTTTCATTAGGATTAGACATTACACAAGATCTAGATCAAAAAAGTCTTTTAATGAAAACCAAATGTCAAAACAACGATCCTTTCTTGATGAGAAGCAATATCTAGATTTTCAAGAAGACAAACATGCTAGGTACCAAAATGGTACCATTTTCAGTTGGATCAAAACAGACATACGAATTCAGTTATTCAAATTTTAATGTCAATACATTATCTGTTCAGGTATATTGATAACAAGATTGATATCATAATGGCCTCTTTGGATATGAGATCAGCACAATTTTTGTTTAAGACAAAATAGACATCAAATTAAGTCTTTCAGTAAACACCACACGTTGATACATGCTTTCTTTTCAGAAATAATAGTAATAACAAGGTTTTCAAGATGGCTTGCGTGATGGCAATAATGAATGTCCTAGGGCAAAATTATCCTTTGTTTCTTCACTTCCCGATCTAATTTCATTGCCGTATTCAAATTGAAGTCTTTTACGCAAAGCCCTTTTGTATTATTTGTCATAAGGTAATTCATTACATTTGTCAGCTGTTCTTTATTCTAATTATGATCATCATAAAGAATGTTTTTTTTCAGTCTGGAAAAAGTGGAGCGTACAATCTATAAATTAACAAGGACAAATTCTTCAAGACTCAATACAATGGTATTTTTTCAAATAATCTTGACATTATAACTAAGATAATACATATTTTCCAGTAAGAACAACTATTCAACGTGTTTGTCATTCAGTGAACAGGTGACATCAGACAAACTTATCGTCCATCAGTAACAGCACAGATTTTGCGTGTCGATTTATCGGACTAGAAAAGGCAGTAAGTTAGTCTCCAGCTCATAACTGCCTCGTCGCTTAAGGAGTTCCTGCTCGAACCGCTCTGGTGGCCTAGTGGTTAGAGCGTCCGCCTCAGATGCGGACGGTTGTAGGTTTGATGCCCGGTTGAGTCATAACAAAGACTTACAAAAATGGTACTAACAGCTGCCTCGCATGGCGCTCAGCATTAGCAGATTAGTGTAAGGACTGGCCGGGCTGGTGTCAGGACAATGTGACTGGGTGGGACAACATGCTACATGTCTGCGGCATGATACTCAGTGTTAGACATCACTATAAACTGCCACTGCAAACATCGTAGCGATATGACTAAAAAATTGTTAACGCTACGTTAAAATATTTAAAATATAAACCACACACGCACACACACACACATACAAACGCACACATACATACAAACACTCCAGTCATTTGGTTGACAGGACCATAACCGTTAAAATTGAGTTGGTAGCTTTACAAACTATAGAAACTCACATTTTTTAGTTTTAGCGATGAGCAAAATCCATATAAAATTAGTTAGTAGCCCCACTTCTACGTCTCTCATTTTAAAACGCATTCAAGGTAATTTTCGGGATTGTGATACTATTGGACACAATCTACGCTACGCTATATTCTTTAATTGAGGTTTCTCTATTTAAAAAAAAAAAAAAAACACCCGCCAGCTGAAGCACATCAGATTTAAGACCGCTATCATGGTTGCCACCCAAACTTATAATATTGCATTATTTTCTATTCTTCGTTGTCATAATCAAACTCTTTGGCTGGTATACCGATATTAGTTTTTACAAAATCATTCCCTGCTGGTTCATCTTTGCATTTTATGTATTTGTCATATTTTGGTGCTCATCAGTGCGGCTCAATTTCAATAGTTATTCGGCTGCAACATTTCCACATAGTCATCCTTCTCCCAGGACAAATTTTGGTTTACAGAGGTTGAACAAAATTCATGTGCATTTCCTAAATCTTTCACATTGTGGGAGGTCACTTGTTTCTTTCGTATGTAATATCCACAGCAAGAAGCTCTGGATGTTGGAGTGGCCCCTTTTGCAAAAATGTTTCATAATTATTTCATGAATAAATTTGGTGATACACGTTAGACTTTTATCATATATTTTGTATGCATAGAATGATTAACGTATTTTGTATTTAAGTTGTAAAGATGAAAAATAATAGATCTTATATGGCCTAAACTAACTGTTAGTGGATTGGAGTTCTTGAGTATGTAAAAAAAAAGTCTCCCCATATTTTCAAAGACAAACTGAAAGTCAAGATGTAATTGAAAATCACAATAAACAGGGAGCCTAAAAAATAGCTGAAACATTTCCTAAAGATAAGGTTGATTTATTTTTTTAAATGTGTTATTATCGTGCTTGGAAGATAAACTACGTGGATTAGAATTGGGAAAATAGGCTTTATATCTCGCGAAGGGGGCGGGGGCGTGGGATGGCCCTATTAAAAGAAATAGTCTAATGATCACTGAACCAAATGTTATGCTCATAAATATTCAGTGACCACTGAGGCAGAAAATATGACGCCAATTCGGCCAGGAGTTACGTTACTTAGGTTTGACTACCAGTTACCTAGGGGACTCAGGTGAAGGTAATTTTTTGTTTTTGTTTGTTTGCTTGTTCTTGGTTTGTTTTTAAATAAAAAGTTTTGTCTAATTGTGTCGCTGGTAGATTCTTCTCATTTAGATGACCAAATTATAAATCTAATAGTAAAACACTGATCGGCTAATCCGGAACTTAAGTTTCTTATATTAATTACAAACCTACAAACACGTGTAATCATTGTATAAATATTTTGAAAAAATATTTTATTTTTACAAATATTACTATTTAAAAAATTCTTATATTCATCTATTTTCAATTTAAACGTGAAAACTATGGTCTACTTTTTAATTTTGGTTTCCCAGCTGCTATAGCAAAATCACTTTTTATTAAAAAATGACGTTATATAGGTATTTGTGCATAGCCAAATTTAAAAACACTGTCAATATTGCCACAACAGCATGCATTAGATAAAATACATGGAAACTTTTTATATTAATTCAATAGTTTAAATGTATGATATAAGTTTTCAAAATGTTTATTACAACTGAAAATTAAATTGGAAATGAACTAGAAGGAGAGGAACTAAATTTTGCTCTTTTAGAATAATATTACTAGCGCCAGTACCCATAATCAGCGTTGAGTTTAAAGATTTAGCTAGGAGGCAATTTACTTTACCATGCTCTCAACACTAAGATTTTTTACAAATTCATATTGCTACATATTGCATCTATTAATACAATTCCTTCACACTGGAACAGGAATTACTTTGCTACATGGAAAATAACTGATCGAGCTTCCTGTCTTGAATTCTTTTTTTTGTTGTTATTTTACTAATTATGTCGCATAATCAATAAATATGATATTAATAGTCAATTATGTTCAAAGATTAAATTTCAGAAGCAAGATAAAGAAAATTTTGTCTTTGAAATATAATGACCATATTATCGCATATAATATTTAAAATTATCTTTCTCCATTGAAATTGATTTTTATTCCATTAAAAATGCCTTTTTTGATGATATTCCAGCTGATTAGAAGACCTTAGATCGTTTAAAAGTATATATATATATATATATATATATATATATATATATATATATATATATATATATATATATATATATATATATGCTTGAATGTTATATATATATATATATATATATATATATATATATATATATATATATATATATATATGCTTGAATGTTATATATATATTCGGATTGTAATAATATGCCGTTAAACCATGTGCATACATACCTATATATATAATGAGTTTACTTTACTGTGATTTGAGGTGAGACTTTTTACATTTTTACATTTTGGGAAACTTTTTAATCTGAACTATAATGCGTTGTCACGCTGTTAAACCATATACAAGCATATCGGTCTCTCATTCACGCGATTATCTTTTACTATCATAGCATACTTCTCCACTTTATAAAAAGTGTTATACGTATATTTTTGTTTGGTATCATCCAAAGAATCCCCAGTCCAGGATTAAGAAGATAAATGTAGCAGGTTCAATATCAGTAGTAATTTGAAATATCTTATTGACAAAGGAGCTATATAATAATTATATGCTTGAATAGTTTAGCAGCGATAAGGTGATGTGTTATACATCAATGGATGATTATTAACGCTCGATATACACATCACAATTTTTAAAGTAATGTGTGTGTGTGTGTGTGTGTGTGTGTGTGTGTGTGTGTGTTTGTGTGTGTGTGAAAAATCGTTCATTATGCATTCAGGTATTTCCAGCCTAATTGTGCACATTTTTTTAAAAAAAAGACAGATTTCGGAAAACAAACCCCGAGTGATGGGGGAGTGGGCTGAATATCACAAATGGTAAAGTTTCACATTAAACAAATATGAAAACCCTATTGGTCTGCGATTCCATTAACAGGTTTTTGGTAAATGGTATGAGAACAGTCAACAGCATAGCTCGATTTCTCCGGCTTATCGAAAAGATATGCTGGTTACAAAATAAAGTCACCTCACTTATGTTTAGGCTTATGGCAAAATGTGCTCTCTCATGGTGCAATAAAAAAGCTATAACTCTTTAATTTATGATTACTCGTCATGGTTACCATGGTGTCTTATGATGTTCGCCCCAGCCATGCACTGGCACCTGAAAAACACGGTCATTTCTTTTGTCTCGGCAAGCTTAAAATGTTTACCAACTCAGGTTGGTTTTGTCTCCGCCGACAAAATATTCTCTATCATTTAAACTCAAAGAGTATCCCCTTTATAGCCAGAGTTATTCCTTTAAACGAATTTTATAATAATTGAAATGCGAGATTATTTACTTGTTTTTTCTTTTCTTTGCGCATCTCTTTGCTAAGCTGATAAAGATTCGTTTGATGCATATTTCTTTCAGTTACACGTAAATTCATTGATTTGATCTGTCCTACATGTTGACGAATAAATCATAAATTCATCTTGTTTTGACACAGTTTGTTTCTGTGGAATCCTGGCACCCAGGGAGTTGTGGTTGATAATGCGACGTGGGACTGGATTATTTTCATACATACCACTGCCTATAAAGCGGTGTGAAATGTCTGAAATGGGCAATTGCGAATAATCTGACCGTGAGGAGTGAATGTTGAGTGATTCTAGCTGGTAGAGTACACCATTAAGAATGTAATTAAACATAATTATTCCGGTGAAGCGATGAAAACCAATTGTTAAAATATAATATTTAAGATATGGGTATAAAAGAAGTTGTCAAGGAACCAGTTAATAGAGAGCCTAAGACAGGCATTGTTTTGGAAGCAGACTTAGAGAAAAGAGCGGTAGGTCCTGTCTGTACGACTTGTCCGTGTCTGAGTGAATGTCAAAACCTAGGTGGTGATATTGCATCTAAAAGAGAAACGATCTGTGTGCACGCTAAACCTGGTGTTACCGAACACCTTTGTAAGAGAGAAAGAAGCACAGGTATTCAATTTGATAATCAGTTATTAAAGATTCTAGAAGATAACGATGTAGACCCCAGAGTAAGTGAAGAAGTCGGGACCTTTGATAAAGAATCTCAACCTTCAAATATTGCAGAAGGCGTAGCAGAATCCAAACTTTTTGACGCCAAGGACGCTCTCCTAGGAAGACTTTCGGAAAGTGAAAACATCCACGTTAAACAGGATAAGATACCGCCAGCATCTACACAGGCTAGTTACTTTGAAGATGCCGATTTCAAGGCATTAAATAATAAGAGCTATTCTTGGCGAGAAGAAAAACTACCAAATAATGGAAGGAATATGACCCCTGATTGCACACAAGAAAATCATCATTCTGGTGTCAACAGTTCTCAAAGTTCTGAATTTCGAGGAACAAAACATATTAATTTCTCAGATGCGCAAACCAAAGACGGATCCAAAAATCTGAAAGAACACGAAGAAAGCGAGAGCTATCCTTGTGACAAGATTTCCGATCGAGGTTCAATCAGTTCACTGAGACGTGAACAGAAACAAAAATATTGCAAAGCGAGAGAAGCCGACGAGAAGTCATCGACATCACCTATATTATCTGCTGATAACAGCCCCAAAACATTGGTTCGTAAAATTCCCTGGCC